CCCCCCCCCCCCCCCCCCCCCCCCCCCCCCCCCCCCCCCCCCGTCAGCTACAACGCTCGCTTGCTACAGATAAGAACATACCATCACTGAGCCCAACAGCCCCCTGATGACTGGGAAAGGACTCAACAGTGACTGGCCACTGGGGGCACAAGCAGGGGTGGTGTCCAGAACTCAGCTCCAGCCAGCTGAGCCCTCAGTGCAGTGGGCTGTGTTACCCGTCCCCGCCCCTCACCCTGGGGAGCAGTGAGCTTGGCTGGGATGGTTTCCTAAGAGCAGCTGAGCAGCTCAGTCCCGTCTCCGGGGGACCAGCTTTGGGTTCTCAGGCATCGGGGCTAATACTGGAAGGGTCTGGGGCACAGGGCAATCTCCTCACAGAGTGAAGCCAGCCATCTCGGCAGTCCAGCAAGAGTCCAGTCTCTCTCCTCTCCAGACTGGAGGGGATATGTACATCAATGTGCACCAGTAATCAGAGACCCCCAGGAACCCAAGCAGGTGGGAACTGAGGGGGCCGGCTCCTCATCAGCTGGGGAAAAGGGAAGTGGGCCTCACAGAAGCCATAACCGAGTGGGTGAGGGAGGGCAGCGGGCCTAGGGCAGTGGGGGCCCATTGACCCCCGGATGGTAGAAGGCACAGTTGTTCTCATAGCGGCAATTGCCCTTCATCATGAAATGTCTGCACACGGGGCGGTTTGACATGTCTGTGGGAATGAAGGCAGGACGATTAGCAAAGCACTGAGACCACCATCAGCCCAGTCCACCCAGAGCAGCTGTATGGGGTGCGGGAGTGTGAAGACAGGGGGAGCGACTGCCTTTGCGCAGAGATGGCAAGGAGAAGGAACCTCACTCTTTCACCTCTCCTCCCGCCCCCAAACGTGGTGAGGAAGACTAAAGTTTAGGCCTGGGCCCTCACCTCCTCCGTGACTGTGGCCTCCATCGTGCCCTCGGTGGCCACCTCCCCCATGGCCATCATGGCCACGGTGCTCATGAGGTGGCCCTCGATGGTCGTGGCCTCGATGACTAGGAACATCATGTGACCGGTGGCCATGGGGTCCCCCGTGTCCAGGGCCGTCATGGGGACGATGTCCACCACTTCCACCCATGTTCCCGCCAGGGCCATCATGGGAGCGATGTCCAGTGCCCATTCCTCCACCAGGGCCGTCATGTGGGCGGTGTCCACTGCTGCTGCCCATGCTCCCACCAGGACCATCATGGGGGCGGTGTCCACCTCCTCCAACCATGCCTCCTCCACCAGGACCCCCTCGGCCATTTGGGGGTCCTCCTCCAGAACGACCTCCTCTGGCTCCTCGGAATGGAGGGGGCGGTGGTGGCTCATTTCCTCCACGACCTCCTCGGCCTCTATGGTATGGTCCAGGGCCTGGTCCTGGACCCCCACGCATTGGGCCACCTCGCATGGGGTCACCTGGGCCATCCCAGAAGGGATCACCTCCCCGAGGGGGTGGGGGACCCAGGAGACGTGGACCCACCGGTCCACCAGGGCCTCCATGGGGACCTGTTAGAGAAGAAGAAAAGTCAGACGCCCTGACTCTCTCCTAACCTGACCCCTGGCTGTCGCCAGACTGAAATGAATCCCTCACTGACCTGGCATGGGCCCTCCAGGACCTGGGGGGAAATGCTGCATGCCCTTGGGACCCCCGGGGCCTCCTGGCGGGAAGCCATTGGCCACAGGACCAGGACCCAGGAGCCCATGTGGCACTGGAAATGAACACAGGAGTGAAGCAGTCAGGAGAAGCCAGAAGAAGGGCGCGGCCCCCACCCTGCCGACTGCGACCAACCTGGCAGAGCCGTGCTCTCTGCGCGCTTCCCCCTCCCACCGCTCGCCCAGCGGCAACAGTGCATGCTCTTCAGAATCTGGGGGCGCCCTCCCCCAGGCCCCGGGGGTGCTCCGAGGATTACCCAGCATCTGCTTGAGTTTGTCTGAGTAGTCTGGCTGCTTCAGCAGTTCCTCTGAAGGGTGGCTGTTTGGACTGCCCTGTGAGCAAGAAAGATGGCAGTCAAGAGCGTGACAGCAAGAACCTCATGTAAACAGAACCCTCGATAAACCGGCACGGCGAGCCATCCCTTGCCGGTCTGGGATGTACAGCGAGGCTTTTTTGAAAAACTGAAATCCACCAACACCCTAAATGGAGAAATCCAAATACACCCAAAACTAAAAGGGGGATGAGGGCCGGGAGGCCGCCGTGAGGAAGAGAGCTCACATACCATGATGGAGGTGAGGATCTCCTGGACGTTGATGCCTCCTCCTCCAGGGCCCTGGGGGCTCTTCCCAGCTCCCATGCTTCCCATAAGATTGGCCAGAACTGGAGGCAGCTTGGAGCCACCCGCTCCGTCAGGTGAACCACCAGACCCTCCAGGCTCCAGGCTCTCAACATACGGTGCCTCATCCATGGAGCACTCCTGAGGACAGAAGCACCCATCAGTGCTGAGGCAGACGGCAGAGGCAGCCTCATGAACGCCCACACCTGCTGTTCCACCCACACCAGGTGACAGTGACTCACCTCATCCAAGGGGATGAGCTTGGGGGGTATGGGCTCATACGGCTCGGGGTCAGGCTCATGAGGACTGTGAGGAGCACCGCCGAGGGAGGAAAAGAGAACCACAATCACACTAATGAAGCCACTGCCCTGAAGGTCTTTTTTGTTTTGTTTTGTTGAGACAGAGTTTCTCTGTTAACAGTCCTGCCCTGTCCTGTACCGAGGACCAGGCTGGCCTTGAACACACAGATTTGCCTGCCTCTGCCTCCTGGGTGCCTGGCCCTCCCCTGAAGCTCTCTGTAGCGCCTCCCTGATTCCCCACACCAACGTCCACATCTCCGGCATCAACACCTCTAACTCACCTCTCCTTGTTCAGGAAGAGCTCCTGAAGGATGCCTTTTTCCCGCTCAGCCTGGATGTATCGCTCCTGGCTATTGCTTCCAGGGATGACAAGAGGGGAGGGCAGAACCAGAGGCCGGGGACACACCCAAGGCACTTTCTCTTCCATGTTGTCATGGCTTAATCGTCGGGCTGTCTCAAAAGCATGTCGGTCTGACAGTATCTCACGCTTAGCCGCCTCACCAAAGTCCTTGATCTTGTTCACGTTCACTGCAGGGGAGGCAGAGAGGCCAAGGGCACAGGTAAGTGAGCCTGCCAGTGTCCGAGCTCCCAGATACCCACACACAGGGAGCTGGCATCACACCTCGCTCAGTTTCATCCAGTTCAAAGTAGAAATACTCCCTCAGCTTGCCCTCCTCAGGCCATGTCACAGTTTTCCTCTTTCTGCCCTTCCGAGTCAGCTGGCTGGGATCTCCAGGGCTCTCCACAGGCTTGGTATCCAGAGCTCCTGGTTCTGAAGAGGCTGCCGACAAGACAGGTTTCAGAAGGGGCAGTAAGCACACAGGTTCCTCCCCAGAGACCAGCCTTTCCGGAAAGCGCCGAGCCCAGACCCAGGAGGTCACCTGCATCCATTAGCTCCGGAACCTCGACGGGTGGCACTGGGGTTCCAGGGCGGTCCGTGTCCATGGGCTCAGCAGGCGGTGCTGGCTCTGGGGAGGAGGGTTTGGCCGCACTTGGCTCAGTGCTTGTTTTCCCTTCAAAAGGGCTGGGCTGTCATCAAAGAGAAAGCAGCCAGTGAGCTGACAGGACCCCAAGGAAACAAATCCCAGCTCCTAAATGCCCAGTGGTGCCACAGCAGTTCACACCAGAAAGCATTCCTGGCCATCATGTACAACAGCTCCTGCCCCGGGCCTCATGCATCCTGCCACCGAACCTCACTTCTAAGGCTCATACCTTGGCAGCCGTAGGGGACAGAACCTTCTTCTTCTTCTTAATTTTGATGCCTGGGACAGGGGCTGAATTGAGAGCATCCAGAAAACCCAGGCCCTCCATAGCTACAGAAGGAAAAACAAGAGTGAATGAACTCAGACCTCCTTCACAATCCTCCTCCTGCAGAGTCCAAGCAGAAAACAACAGTGGGCCAGTGGGGTCCCTGCCGATGGAGTGCAGAAGGAAGGCTCACAGGACTTTCCCATTATTCTGGCTTTCTTCTGGCAGGACGCCACGACTTTGATCACAGTTATTACAGAATGCTCAATTCATTGAGGCGCTGCGAACACCACAGAGGGTCCAGCCATGAGCAGACAGTGGAGAAGGTTATCACTTGAGAGGGCACAGCTTCCTGCCCAATATTTAACCTGACTCCTTACATGAGAGGAACCCAGAGGTACAAAATTTCTAGGATGACAAGATGTCAAAGGCCTAGCAAAGGAAAGTGTCATCACCTCCCTCGGCAGAAGAGCCTCCCCATGCCATGCTGAGGACACCGCAGGCCTACTCACGCTGAGGGGGGATGATCTTCACTTTGATCTCTTTGGTGGCATTGGGGGTCGTGTTGAGGGGCTTGTACTTCTTCTCTGCAGGTGGGGCGGTGTCGCCTGGAGCAGTGGTGGCACTGCACAAGAGCAGCAGTCAGCAATCTCCCCTGTGCAAGGCGCCATGCCCTGAGGAGCCCACCCGGTGCCCTGAGGAGCCCACTTGGTGACCTACCTCTGGCGCTTGAGGGGAAGGGGCTTCAGATTGTACTTGTCCGACACTGCCACAGTGCTGGGGCTCTTCCGAACAGGCACCAGGGATGGCGTGTCGAGCTCTAACCCTGTGACGAGATGGTGATAGCAGCTCAAGTGGCCCATGGCTCCTCCTGGCGCCACCTCATGCTGAAGGAGAAGCCTAGCTTCTCCTTCAGCCCTCTGCCTTCCCAGACTGTGATGTCACAATCAGAGGACTAGCCCCAGGGACTGGCGATGGGTTCTGGTCCCGCAAAGCCAGCTGGCAGCCTTACCAGTGGAACGGAACTTGGCATGACTGGGTGCGGTGGTTCGAAGTGACTTGGGCTTCTCCTTCCTCTTCTCAGGGGCATCCTCAGCCCGGGTTTCAGCCTTGACTTCCGTCAAAGGTCGCTCAGGAAGCAGGGTTCGACTTTTCCCCTCTTCTTTTCTTTTTTTCTTATCTTTCTCTGTCATGGAAAAACAAAGCAGGTAAGAATCTCACAGAGATAACAGAACTGTCAGAGTGACATATCAGCCTAGGGACACAAAAGGGCCCAGGACCTCACCCGCAGGCTGTGTGCTACTCTGGGAACGGATGACAGCCATCCAGTCACTGACAAGGACTGATGCCAACTTCCGGAGCTCTGCAGGTGAAAAAGAGAAAAACTACTCAGTAATATTAGTGTTTTCTAGAATAGAAAAATAGGATGTTTGAAAAAAAATACTGTTATCTGTTCAATGGAAAAAAATAACTCAAAGTTTTAAGAACGTGATGTGTAATGTGATTTACCTTGTGGCCCTGGCCCTTTATAGCATCCCCAGTTGCTAGTCTGGCCTTTTAAGAGTTTTTAGCTGTTAGAATTGCATGACCCTATGACCTTCAGTGTGGGTTGACTCCTGGGTTTCTGGGAACAGGAGAGGATATAAGAACCACCTGAAGCTGGGGTGTGGGGATAGCAGGGTGAGAGAAGGCAGTTGGTGCAGACGAGACAACCAGGCCAGAAGCTGAGCAGAGAGGCTACAGCAATGGGAGAAGAGGCTGTTTAAGCAGACTGTTGGGGACCTGAAGAACAGTGGGGAGAAACATTTGAAGGGGCTTGGCTAGAAACTGGGGTAACAGTTGGGATCTCTTCCTTCCCTCTCCCTTCTATCCTTCTCTACCTAGTGTTGGGGTGAAACCTGGGGATAACGGGCGGGAAAAAGAAGAACCCACAGAGTAGCAAAGACATGGCTACAATGGCATGCTTAAATAAAGAAATAAAAGCGCCTCGGAAGCAGCCTTTCTTTTCCCTTGACTGCTGTTGGGGCAATGACTTAAATCAACACTGGGAAGGTGGTATGACAACAGGCCCATTTTACGTGTCAAGAAGCACTTTATATAGAGAAAAAAAAAAGATGGCTGAGAATCTAAGGGATAACTTTCAACCTATGAGAAAAAAAAAAAGGTGAAAAGCTGGAGAGTGGTTTCCACTTAATGCTTAAGTTCTACCCAGCTTGCAGGGAACTCTGGGGTTCACTCCCCAGAGACATATTAACAAACACTCCTATAGCCCAGTATTATGAGTTAAAGCAACGTGGGCCCCTCGCCTTCGGGAATAGTTCTTCACAGTGAAGAACTCAGATAGGATCATGAGCTCCCCTGACATCTCATTAAACATAAAGAAAAATCTGTATTTTTATCAGAATACACAAGTCCTGTTATTAATCTGGTTATCACGGCTCACGCCTCTAATCCCAGGACTCAGCAGGACTGCCATGGGTTCGAGGCCAGGCCAGCCTCTGTAAGTTTGAAGCAAGCCTGATCTACAAAGTGAGTTCCAGGTCAGCCAGAACTGTCCAAAAAGACCCTGTCTCAAATAAGCAATAACAGCACACCCCTACAGAAATGTTTCCTGGTAGGCATCCCCCATGTTGGAAAATGAGTAAGTTTCATCTGGAATCGAGGTGGAGAGGGATGGGATTAGAGGACTTAAGTCTTCAACAGAGAAAAACAGGGTCTAGGAGAAAGAACAAGGAAAGCCGAATGCAATGCACAGACCTCCATGGACTCAAAGCAGTCAGGGGTCTGAGACAGGAGTATACATGTTTGGGACAGCCTGGATCACAAAGAGTCCAGCTTGGTTGGGCACACCTTCCATTCCAGCACTGAAGAGAGGCAGGTGGATCTCTCTGAGTTTGAGGCAGAGGGATTTGTATATTGAGTTCCAGGACAGCCGGGGTCATATAGAAATCCCATTGCCCAAAAAGAAAGGAAAATAGAGGGAGGGAAGGAGGGATGGAAAGGAAGAGAATCCAGTAAGGGCACAAGAATGAAGGCCCTAACACAGAGGTGGCTGTGCACAGCCAGGTCCAAGCAGGGCGTGGGCACGCACCTTCGTCCTCGCTTGACTTGCTCAGCTGCTTCACTAGTTTTGCAGTGTTGTTCTGTGAGAGAAGGGAATGGCAGGAAGGTGAGTGCAAGAAACAACACCTCAGTCAACACCTATCCCACCTCGTGGCAGCACTATAGATACTTCTGTTTTTTAACAAAGGGTCTCTCAGGTGGGCATGGTGGCACACACCCTTTGATCCCAGCGCTTGGAAAACAGAGGCCGGTGGATCTCTGAGTTCGAGGCCAGCCTGGTCTACAAAGTGCCAGGACAGCCAGGGCTACACAGAGAAACCCTGTCTCAAAAAACCAAACCAAACCACCAAACAAACAAAACCCTGGCTGGTCTGGAACTCACTCTGTAGATAAAGCAGGCCTTGAACTCACAGAGACCCACTTTCCTCTGCCTCCCAACTGTTGGGAGTAAAGGCAGGAGCCACCATGCCCAACTATAAAGATACTCTTACTCCTACAAAGACCAGTTAGAATAGCTAAAACACAGCTCACAACTGAGCTGGAGTACTAGACCGGACCCTACCCAGGTGGGCAGGCCACCTTCTTCCCACTTTGCAGATGGAAAACTTCAGCTCATTTGTCTGCCTGATAAGTAAGCCCACACCCAGTTTCCACTTCCAAACCTCCACATCCCTCTGCCATTCTGCCTCACACATCCCAGAGTGCTGCCCATTGGTACTGAAGCGGGCTTTTCATCAGGTAGGCTGGCCTGGAAAGGACAGGTGGGCAGTGCGGGAGGTACCTGCTTGAGATGGTCCACGGTGAGCGGGAGGTGCTGCAGGGTCAGCAGGAGCTGCTGCAGGAGAGGAACGTTGTTGGTCGTCTTTGAGTATGTTAACCAGTTGTTCAGGAGCTTGTAGCCGCCAACATCAATGAACCTGCAGGCAGCCGAGAGCAGTCTGGTAAGCCCTTCCTGGCGTTTAGGGCCAACAAGCACATCCCATGCCCAGAGAGGCCCACGCCTCCCTTCTCCCGGTGCAGCTGCCTCTGCCCCACTTACTTGACCAGCACTTCTGGGGCGCGGGTCTGCAGGAGGATGTTCAGGTACGTACACCGACTCACCATCTTTCGTGCTTCCTTCATCAGACTGGAAGAGAGTCGTCAGGTCAGACACGGGGCAAAGCAGCTGCCCTCAGTCCTGTCAGTACTGAGATTTCAGAAGCAAGGTCTTAGTAGGCCAGGCTAGCCTCCCGTCCTGAGTGGTGGGGTGACAGGCTTGAGCAACACCTTGCCAGCTAATCTCCTACAGCACAGGACTCTGATCCTGGAGTCCTGGGCCCTGAGGACATCTCTGTTCCAGGAGGTAGTCCCCAGACTCTGTGATTATGGAATGAATCTGGAGTCACATCAGAACCAAGGGAGGATGGAGGCAGCCACCTGGGAGCTCATCCCTCCTCTTCCAATGCAGAAACAACAGGTGGAGGCAGGCGTCACACATTTCCCCTTGAAACCTAACTTAGCTGTTCACTTTTTTCTGGAAAACCTGAGAATCTCTGAAGGAAAATGACATTTTGGGTAGGCACATGACACAAAACAGAAGAATTCTGTCAAATGCTCCCCTGCTCTCATCCTATCCTGACTCTTGGGGTTATGGATCAAATCCCCAGCTTCCATCATGGCCACGAGCCAAGAGATTATTACTCTTTTATCACAACCTCATTGCACGTGGGCTCTTCCCTTCCTCATTCAGTTCAACTCAAGTGTAGTCTCCTCTACTGAGAAGGAACCCCAAAAAGAGCAGACTTACCTGAAGATTTTGGAAATCCCATCCACACTCTTCACTTCTCCATCCCGAGTAAGGAAGCTATCCAGACCCTTGAGAAGTTCTTTGGGGTCTATGGGACCCGAACCCATGATGATGGTTTCTGAGATAAAAGAGAATAAATAAATAAACCAAAGGACAAATGGGCAGCAAAGACATCTCCACTGACTTATTCCTCTAACAAGTCCCATTGCACATTTAAGACACAGTAACTAATCTATATTCAACTGTTCTGTTGTCTAGATCAGCAAAATCAATCTGTGCTCACAAAATAGCCTTGCTAACTTGAGCTTGAGGTTAAACTGAGTACATGGCAGCCCACTTCTCATTCCCAGGACAGCTGCACTTCAGCCTATCAGTGCTTAAGACTCATGACATGATGCTTGCTTCTTCATGTTTTTAAGGTCCTGTTCCCAGTTAGCTGTTAATTTTGATGGGGGGGCGGGGGAGCTCTGGCTTTCCACTGGGACAATCCTAGGTATCTGGGTAAAAAATTTTCAACAATCCTTTCTCCAAAAGTCAATTCCCTCTTATCTTGGCTGTTTAAGAGTCATAATCACAAGTGGAAGAATGTGTCAGCTGAAATGGTTGTTGGAGAAAACCACAAAGCCCTGAGCAGAGCTTCCCCAGGGAGCCGAGAGCAGCTCTAAGAAACAGGAGTGACTGAAAAGATGGCTCTATCAGCGTTGAATAATGTTACTCAGAGGCCAAATCCCAAGCAAGCTTTTATTGTTCCAAAGTTCAAGAGAAACTTGGCTTGTAGTTTTAGAAGCAAAGATGTAAACCTAACCTTCTCCTGTACTCAAAATTCATCACTATCCAAGACTCCCCCCAAAATCCCAAAGCTGAGAACCAGAAACCAGGAACCAAAACAAGTGATGAGGGTGAAGCTGAAGTGTGGCCCCACTTCCAGTCAGGCTGGGGATGGACACTCCTTCCATGAACACCAAGCCATCTCCAGAGACATAGTCCATCATCCATGATTAGGGGCAGTACGTTTCTGAGTGGTTGTTTAGCTACATTTCCATTAGCACTAACTTCTGAGAAAGAAAAACACAGGAAGCCTCCTCAGGAGCAGAGGTGGTCAGGCCAGAATGCCCAAAAAAAGGTGAGGGCCACCTGCTGCCTGCATCTTGCACATGACAGAAACAGCAAATGCAGCCCCAATGGTGAAACAATCTTTAACAAAATCATTGCATTTTCTAGAGAAAATGAGATTCTTCCAACACAAATCAATTGTTTTTTTCTCAGACAAACCAGGAGAAAGATGTGTAAAGGGTGTTGACTGTTTTTCTGGCCCAGACATGTTTAATCTGAGCAAAGATGCTGTCAAAGACAAGAGCGATTCTCCAGATAAAAGATAAAATTTAGGGTGTAAATGAAAACAATCAGCTTTAAATGTGGACTTCCTAGTGACCCAGGGCAGCAACAGCAGCAGGAAGGAGGGCAAAGGAGGTAGGGCAGTAGTCTCTGCTTTGGAGGCCAAAGCCTAAGGGCTGAACACAGGAGAGATGCAGGCAAGAAATGCGAAGCATTGAGCAATACTTGTTAACAGCTGAAGGCCACTACCCTGGACCTGAGGTCAAAGGAGAAAGCCATTCAAGACACTGGAAATGTTTACAAGTTAAGGGGACAAACCCACTGATGTGTGGCCATCTGTACACAGAGGGGAAAGCTCCCTGTGTCCTCAAGACAGCAGACGGTGATTTGTGGAAGCTAACAGATTTCCCATCTGTTAGACTAGAAAAGGAATGGGCCCAAAGTAATAATACATATAAGCAATCTAGAGTAGGAAATTTTAAGATCTTTTATACACAAATAGATCTATTAGAACCCCAAATAAAAAAAAGTATGCACTCTTACAAGTTCTGAATTAAACATAATTCATTCCAGTCCCTCTGAACACAGCTCACTGAATGAAACCCAGAGCTAAACTTATCTCCTTGGTCTACTTATAAATAGGCCTAATTCCAATGTTTCTTCAGACAAGACAGAGGACAGCCAACTTTAGAGACACTAGACCAGTTAAGTACAAAACCTGAGCCATGTCTAGTGCCTTCTGCTGGAAAACGGACCCAGCTACTTTAACATTCCCATTTGTATAAACATTAAAAAGGCACATTAGTCGAGGTGGCTGGGTGACAGGACAGGAGTGGTTACTCATTTCCCACCATTTCATATATTTGGGTGACTGAACTTCTCTCCTCATGGTAAAATGCACTTTCTCAGGGCCTTTTCTCCGCTACTATTTACTCTTTATTAGGGACCCTAGCACCTTACAACCTAGGTCCCCATTTTCACAGGCAAGCCCTAAGGTCTTCCAGTGGGAACAAAGGAAGAATGCATCATGCTTGGAGCAGGTCTGTGGAGAAGGGCAGAAGCTGCGCTGACCAGGGTGGGCAGGGACAGCGCCCAAGCATTCCTCAGTCCTGTTCTGCAGTTTGAAGTCGAGGAAACTTTCTGCAACCATAAAGAACTCAGGTCATGTTTTCTTCTTTTTGTTAACCGCCTGCTAATCTCCGTGAAGGCCACAGACAAAAGGGGACAGGGAAGCAGCCTGTGGTTTGCCTCCACCTAAGCACAGGGCATGTTCTACAGTCTTATTAGAGACCAAATTCCTGACTTTAAAATGTGTTTGACTTGGGAGTTATTCTTTTTAAATGGTGGAAAAACATCCGTCCTATTTGCTAAACATCTACCACCACTGAATCCTGAATCAGATCAGGAAACAAGGTCCATGCAAGCCAGGTTGCTTTAAAAAGGTCATCTGACCAAAGGGAAAATAAGTTCCAGCTCTTCTTTGCTGGGACCTGGGCTCTCTTCCTGCCAAGTCCCAATAGTGGAATGGACTGTCTCAGGTGGCTCACAAGGTTCTGTACCTTTCTGTAAGGCCTACCGCTCCTTCATCATTTTGAAAATGTTAAATGTCTCAGGAAGACTATCCGGCTTTCAATAAAGATACAAAATTATACCCACCACCCTGAACCCAGGACTCTGGCCTCTCTATAACAATCAGGATGTCCAAGGTTCCCTAGAAAGCCTTGCTTTTCATCTCCCACATAGGCTTTCTTTACTAACTCCCTGTACCCTAGAGGCCAGGAACTCAGTAGGGGAGTGCTCAGCTCCCAAGGTAGGTACACTGCAGAGGCACCTGGCAAACTGCTTAAAAAAAAAAAAAAAAAATACTTGTGGTAAATAGACATGTAGAAGAGGCCCTCCCATCCACCAGAAGTCCAAGCAATAATGAGAACCTGTTGCACCCAAGACCACACAGGACTGCAGGTTAAAAGGCTTACACACTCTGCCTAGAGACTTCACATTTCAACACAGGACGTTAAATAAAAATGAAAAGTATATGAAGAAACTGTCAAAGACTTGACTTTGAAAAGTTGGGAAGAAATAGAACCAGACGCCCAATACTGCCCTCAAGGGCGTGGCTCTCAACATGCACCATCTGCCCCAGCACTGAACAGGCAGAAATGAAAAGGACATTCTTTTCCTCAATGCTTTAAAGGAATTTCTTTTTAGGAAGGAAGGAAAAAGAAATTCAAAAAGGTGGCTCTTTGGAAAAAAGAAAGGTTTGCTTACCAGAAGCCGTAGCTGGACTCCCCCTGCCTCGAGCTTACAACTGCAGCCTCCTTTCCTAAAGAGCCACTTCTCATCCGAGTGCCAACACACAGGAGCTAAACAAAGCGGGTGATGGCACTGGGCAAAGAGCTTAGCCCCAAACGGAGAATGAGAATAAGGATGATTTACAAGAGAGTCCTATAAGTCCCCACCCTTTCACAGACTGTTACAAAGCAACCATATTCAGGAAGTACAAGGCCCCATCCTGAGCAGTGACACATTTCAGCTTCATTAGGCCCAATTGTCTCCTCAAGCTACAAGCCCTGTGTCTTGCCCCAGTCTCTCACTTAAAGCACTTGGGGTTTAAACCGCTTTTCACCCCTAGCAACTGAAGCAGGGTACATGTTCAAGCAGTCATGATGAGTGAAAGGTGAAAATAAAAGCAATGGATTGTTAACCAGAAAAACCGGAACTACACAAGAAGGACGGCCTCCATTCCTTTTATCCCTGCAAGCTACTTCATAAAAGATAAAAAACAAAACAAAACAAAAACGTTCTCCCCAGCAGCAATCTGTGCAGGGAGAGAAGCCATCTGCTTGGGGGTGGAGTTTTCAAAGAGGAAGCAAGCCGATTACATCACCTTTTATAGTGGCTCCTCCCCCTCGACCAAGTTTCTAGGGCAGCCCTAAGCTGACTGGCAAAAGAGAAAAACAAAGGAGATGGACGCCATTTTGTTATGGAGAGGATTCAAAATTTAAAAAGCCATTCCGCTCTGCCGCTAGCTTTACTTATACTATAAGGCACTAAACAAAACAAAACAAAAAAACACAAGTCATCCCTCTGCCCACCATTCTTAATCTAACCTACTTTAATTCAGATTAAGAACCTACTGAAAATAAAATCAATATACAATTTTCTGCAGGTTAAGAATTTGAATTTGCAACTGAAATTCAATTTGCTACTACCGCTGACCACCCCAATTCTCCCTGTACCAGGAAAGGGGGAGGACTTGGACCCCTCAACAAATAGGGTTGAGGTGGGAGGACAGGAGAAAAATGGGTCAAGACACAACCTGCAACACCGCTTGGAAGACAAAAGGACAAGGAAAAGTCGCCATATTTGAAGCAGGGAAGAAAAAAATTCTTTTAACGACACAAATCTTCTAGATAGCATTCAATTGCACTAATGGCTTTTAAAATTAAACTCCTGAGTTCGACATTTCCCAACCTTTCCACCCTCTTAACTGTATCCACCACCCACTAAAAGTATCAAGTTAAAATGTTAATCACTTCGCCTTTAAATAACCTATGCAACCTGAAACAAATTACAAGACATTTACCTCCCCAAATGTTATTGTATGTACTTGTTACTAAGATTATATTTTTGGCCTAAATTTAAGTGTCTGGCAATCTTTATTTCTAGATTGCCACCTATTTTAACCATACAATATACCCCAACCAAATTACATTAAAATTGAGAGGATTTAACACTTTAAAGACATAGCGAGCTTAATATTTCTCTCTGCCCATCTCCTTACCCTGCAATCTTTATGTACAGATTGCTTATTAATCTGGCAAATTGAAAGGCGCTCTGCTTGTCTCACACACAAAGAAGTGGGACTTCTGGGCCACAAGATCCACCATCTTTTGTATGTGAGCTCATTAACCCTTTTGAAGACTGCTAACCAGAGGAAGGTAATCATTCCTCCTTATAATAGCAAAGGCATATGCTTTGGCAGTCTGGAAATTTGCTGGATTATCAAGGGTTAACCGTCAAAATCCTCACTTGCTGGCCGCCCCTTCACCCTCTCCTTGCCTGCTCCACAGCAGGAAGAGGCAGGTGGTAGGGGAGAGAGAACAAAGACTGTTTAGACCCACAGGACCTTTTTTAATGGAGATTTAAAAGACCCGATTGGTCTTTCTCCAGTATTCTATATTTGTTCTATGGTCTCATTTCTTCCTCTCATTATTTTTGGTTTCACAACGGGAAACGTTGATTTCTTGTTGCAAGGCTGGTTTTTGAAAATTCGACACTTACTATCCAATTTTTTTGCGACGTCAGCACCTCGGGCTCAGGGGGGGGGATGGGTAAAATTATGGAGGAAAAAAAAATAAAACAACCAACCAGGACCCAAACTCAAGTTACTTGGGGGGCCTCATTGGATCAAAAAGTCTCTTAAAAAAGTAACGACCAACTCAGTATTCATAATCCCCCCACCCAACTCCATTTAGGGAGGGGGGGTCGTTGAAAAAAAAATTCTGAGTGGATTCCAAAAAGGAAATGCTGGATGAGTGCGATTGGGTGGGTTTGGGCAAGGAGGGTGGTTGATTATTTTTGAAGTTATGTGGTGACGGTCCTTCGGCCACAGATTTCAAGTCCCAAGCAGCATGGGCTGGTGGGGTGGGCAAGATAGGTGGGAAGGGGGCAGAAGACACAAGTGGATGGGCTGGTGGCCGCTGTTTTCCCTTTCCCCCCTCTCTCAGGATCCTTTCAAGGGTTTAGATGTTGCTGAGGCTTGTTTGTTTTCCTGATGGCCGGCCTGTCTTTCTCCGAGAAAATTCAACCTGGGATGAGAGGAACACAGAAGGAGAAAGAGGTAATCAGTGCGGGTCGCCTTAAGACACTCCCAAACGCCCCAGAACACCGCCACGCTAGGCAAACAGCGTCCTCCCCGCTTCCCGGGCCAACCGCTCTCGGCAAAGATCGTTACCCTACAAGCGACGGGACACCCAAACTTACCTCTAAACGAACCCAAGAATGGCGGCCGCCCGCTCGGGCGGAGCCCTTTATACCCGGCCACCGCCCAACGCACCCTAACGTGATGGAGAAACGCCCTCGACGCGAGACGCGGGGCGCGAGGCGGGGGCCGATTGGCCGCCGTGGAGGCTGGGCTGGCCGCGGATTGGACGTCCCTCCTCCACTTTCGGGGCGCCCTTCCCTCCTCCGCGTCCGCCAGAGCGCGTGACCGCCGCGCCCGGCGCCTCCCTTTCCTCCGCCACTTCCGCCCCGGCGGCTGGCGCTCACCCTCGGTTGGTCGGGACGGCCGGGCGCATGCGCACTGGGGGCACGCCGGGAAAAACCGCACCCGAAACCGCTCCGGCGTGAGACGCTCGCCGCGCAACCTGCGAGTCGCCGCGACCGGCCCGGCGAAGAAGCACTTTGGACGGCCGGTTCGATTGTGACGCAGTCTCAATTCGCGTCTCCCCACGCGGACCCCGCCCCTCGACGCTCTCTTCCTACGCACGCGGGCCGCCCTGCGACTTCCGCACTGCGACACTTGGCCTTGGCCCCGCCCCGGCCGGCGTCTCGAGCGTGCGCACTCGCCTTTCCCGCCGGCCGCACGTCCGCCGTGCGTCAAGATGGCTGCCTCCTCGCGACACACGCTGCTTAGGCTATCTCCTACGCTCTTACGAAGTTACTATGGCGGTCAGGTAAACAGTTCTGCCTCCCCGAGGTGCCTGTGCTCTCGACCTTCTCTCCGCCGCGAGGAGTCAAGGGGCCACAGGTCTTCCCGTATGTTTACGTCTTAGCCCTGCACCGTCCTCTGTCCCCAACGGGGCGTTTTTTAATAACTGAGCCTTCGGGTCGGAGTCAGGGTCATATGTCCTCGTCTTCCCCCAAGGACCACCAAGCAGAAGAACTAGGTTGTGGGGTTACCCCTCTAGACACGCGCAACTAATTCTTCGCTGGGTCGTTCGTACCTGAAGTGGTCCCGTGCCCTTGTATCAAAGGACCCTAATGTAAATTAATCATTTTCCCGGTGTTCCACAGACAGTCCCACACCGTCTAAGGTTGAGCTCCTGGGTGACCTTGAACTCCCTATCTTTCTACCTCCGCCTCCCGCGTTACGGTAGGACAAGAATGATACACCAATCCTTACTCCACCTCCGAACACATCCGTTTCTTATCAGCATTGTTTAATTCTGTTCTCTGGATTGAGGTTGCCCTCTAATATAAGGTACTCACCACCCGGAGGTTCTGAGGGCAGGGGGGAATAGGGAGGCTTGTCCCGACGCCACTCCCTAAAGTGGGACTAAAGAGTGGTGACAGAGGTCACAGCTGAAGTAATGACAGGCTTGGTAGCTTTAAAGCTAGCGTTAGTGCTCAAATTTGTTTTGCCCTGTGGAATGTGGACCTGCAGCATTTTTTTTTTTTTTTTCGAGACAGGGTTTCTCTGTGTAGCCTTGGTTGGCCTGGACTCACTTTGTAGATAAGCCATCCTCTCTGCCTGCCTCAGCCTCCCAGAATGCTGGGATTACGGTGTTGCGACCAGCATTTTCTTTTTCTTTCCTTCTTTCCTGTCTTTATTTTCTTTTTCTTTTTTTTTTTTTTTTTTGGACCTGCGGCATTTTATAAAACTGGACAACTCAGTGACTTTGGACTTTTCTGATTCATCCCCTGCTCTCCATAAAAATCTTATTTCCAACAGGTTAGACATATTTTTCTTTTCCAGCAGAACCAACTAATGCTCCACAAGCACACATCTTTTTATGTCATGTTTTTTTTTTTTACTCCTATTACTCCTATTTCTTCCTGCTGAATTATATTGATATTTTACACCCAGGTTCCACCTCTCTCCCCAAAGTATGATAAACCAAATAGTTACAACCTTTTCTTGGAACTTATCCACTCATTTTACTCCCTTTATAGGTTCCCCTCCAGACTCTTTGCACCAAAGGTCCTCCTGAAGAAGATTCTCCATCCTCACTTCCTGTTTCCCCTTATGAGAACGAACCTTGGAAATACCTGGAGTCAGAAGGTACCTGGAATTAGAGGGGAGGCAGGCCTGAAGTAAGTGGCTAGAGATCCCTGCCACCCACATGCAGAAATAAACTTATCTTTATTTCAGAATACCAGAACCGCTATGGCTCTCGCCCTGTCTGGGCTGGCTACCGCCGCAACCACAAAGGCGGGGTGCCGCCACAACGGACCCGGAAGACGTGCAGTGTAGGTTTTTAAGGCTCTTATCTCGGTGGAATGTGAAGAGGGGGCAGTGGGGAAGATAAATCCTTATTTACTTACTCTTTTTTTTTTCCTACAGCGTAAAGATAAAATTGCTGGGAATCCTTGCCCCATCTGCCGGGACCACAAATTGCATGTTGACTTTAGGGTAAGGAGAATCTTTTATCCAGTTAGGATTTGGAGCCTCGAAGTGCTGAAGAAATATCAGAGGTGTCTCACAGTCTTCTCCTACAGGAACAGTCATATTTTTCTTCTTTTTTTGGTTTTTAGAGAAAGGGTTTCTCTGTGTAGCCCTGGCTGTCCTCAAACTCACAGAGATCGCCTGCCTCAGCCTCCTCAAGTGCTGGGATTACAAGCATGTGCCACCATGCCCAGCTAACAGTCCTCTTTTCAATGACTGTCAATATGAAAACACCCTTTCTAGGGTTTCGCCTACTCCTCTGGATTTTATTACAAAGATTTAGTTCATTCTCTTGAAGTTTATAGTCTAAATTCCAAGTAAGAAAAACACATTTGAGCTGGATGTTCTGATGCACACCTTTAGTCCTGGATGGGCAGATTCTGAGGCTAGCCTGATCTACAGAGCAAGTTCCAGGCCAGCCAGGACTGCACAGAGAAACCTGTCTGGAAAATCAAAGAAGACATGTATTTGAAAGTGGACTTGGCTGGCGTATATCTGCAATCCCAGTGCTGGCAGGCTAAACCAAGTGTGTGTTCCAAGTTCCAGGCCCATCCGCCACCCTACACCACATGTTACACAGAGGAAGAGGAGAAAGCTCATTTCTACTGGATGATGCCCAGAGGGTAATTAGGAGGGTTGGATGAGACACTGTCTAAATAGCCCAAGTGGCCTCAGACTTGCTCTGCTCTGCGGCTAGACTTCTGGTCCTCCGTCCTCAGGGCTGTGGGCTACAGGGGTATGGCACCACACCTAGCTCAAAGGTTTGTTTTTAAGATGAAGGAGTAGATTTAGTAAGGAAAAACTTCCAAGGATAGGAGGGGTTCACAGGAAGGCATCTTATTTGTCTATTACAATTAACAAATAGTCCTGTTTGGGGAGGGGCCAGGAGCTTTCCTCCATTTTTCTCTTTTGAGAAAGGGTCTGTTTATATAGCCCACACTGACCTCAACTTGCTGTCCTCCAGCAGGCTGAGTTCTGGATTACAGATGTGTACACCGTGTTTAGTTGTCTTTATTTTCTTGCCCTCCCTGTGTCCAGTGAGATACTGGGACCTGGGGCTAGGGGACAGAGCTATGAATGGAATTGAAGAGTGTAGGAGATTTTTTTTTCTTCCCCAAAAAAGGTCTTCAAAATGATGAGGCTTGCTTCTTAGAGAAAAGTGCGCGCAGGAGCCAGAGCTGTGAAGCTGGGGTTCCCGAATGTCCGTCTGCTGGTGAGGGCGAGCACCAGGCCAGCACCCTCGCCCACTCTGTACGGGAGACCTTGATGTCTTCTTGGTCTATGTGCCAAGTTACAGAAAGAAGCAATGACTGGGCTGGGCACGGTGCAGGTGGGTGAAGAAGCAGGAAGCAGCTCTGGGGCTCTGCAGACGTGGTCGCCCCGTGGCTGGTGTCTGGTTGAGTTGTGTAACTGGAACTGTTGTCAGTTGTGCACTGTGCCCAGCGAGTCTCTGCCGTCGCTGGCTCCTTACAGCCTCAGTCATTCCTGGGACCTTGATGGTATATGTAAAATGAAGTGAGAGAAAAAGATAATGAAGGGCAGCTATGAGGCTTGTTTTGTTTTGTTTCTTTGTTTCTTCAAGACAAGGTCTCTGTCTTGAAGAGACCTTCTGTAGCCCTGGCTGTCCTGGAATCCTCTCCACTTAGAATCACAGATCCACTTGCCTCTGCCCCCCAAGTACTGGTATTAAGCGTGTGCACCACCACTGCCTAGCTCTTGTTTGTTGTTGAGTTTTTATGGGGGCAGGAACTCACTTTGGAGCACTGGCTAGCCTTACAGGAAACTCATCCTTCTGTGTTTGCCTTTTCATCCAGCTCTGCTGCGGTGTGCCACGACCCTGGGTGTGTGAGGTGTGTGCTCTCAGCCTACAGAGGTCTTGGCAGCCCCTCACACGTTTCTCCTTCCCTGCAGAATGTGAAACTCCTGGAACAGTTTGTTTGTGCCCACTCAGGCATCATCTTCCACGCTCCATACACAGGTTAGCGTGGCGGTCCTGTTGCCGCCTCTAGTTTTCCCTGGGGCATTCCTGAGCTATGGTGGTGAGTGGCAGATGGTTTTGTTTATTTGACTGGTTTTTATTCCTATAATGAGCACTCGGAAGTATGGTTGCCGCTTCTGGGGTTTTGTTTAATGAGGATGCTTGTAACACTAAAGCAGTTAAGGTAGACAAGAGACTAAGGGGAGCACCTCTGTGAAACGACTGTCTAAACTTGCTTTCAAGGGTAAACCATGCCTTTAATGGCAGCACTGGGGAGGTGGAGGTGGAGGCAGGCTAATCTCTGTTTGAGGTAGCCCAGTCTACATACTGAGTTCCAAGATGGCTAAAGCTACATAGACCGTCTCCATTTAAAAAAAGAAAAAGGGAAACAGATTGCTTCTTCTGAGGTTTTCCCATCTATTCTAAATTCTCTTATGCTACTGGTGCTTTAATTTGGTTTCCCAATTTAAAACTATTCTTTAACAATTCAGGATTGTCTATTTCGTACCCTCAGTGGCCTGTGGCCATGTCCGGTTTTTCATGTGGTCTACAACTGCTTCAGGCAACGGCGGTGGAGCCGAGTGTCATATGTCATAGACGGAAGGAAGCATCTGTAGAGCAAGAATAATCTGAACTCACTGTTTATGCAAGGGCCCTTCTGTCAGGGAGCCTTTTACCATCAGCCTCTAGAGTGGAGATGGGATAACTTGCTACTCTGTCACAGTCCCTAATTTGAAATCACTTCTTCTCTTGTGGGCTATTTCTCTGGATTTTCCGAGTCAACTTTTGACCTTGTGTGCCCATTGAGTCAGCCTGGGGCCCATCTGAGGCTGCATCATTCAGTGGCTTCTTTATAGTCACTGACATCCAAGGTCCTCATCTGGCTTTCAGGTAGAGATGAGGTCAGGGTGTGGGTCCTGAGGTAAAGCCAGCTTCTCCACATTTAGCTCCTCTGAATACAAGGCTTTGACTAACTGCTTTGTGGGAGGTCTCCAAGTTAGTTTTCTCTTCGCAGGGGTCTGTATGAAGCAGCACAAGAGGCTGACTGAGGCCATCCAGAAAGCCAGGGAGTGTGGTAAGTGAGGGCGAGGGGCAGGGCTTTCCTCGGCGCTCCCGCATCTGCAAGCGTTAGCTGCCAGGATGCACTCCAGAATCAGCGGTGCTGCTGGAGCCTGGAGTCACACACAACAGGGGAAGGACCATTTCTCTCTTCCCTCTGCTCTTCTCCTGAGTCCTGAGTCTTCTGTTTCTTTGTCTGCGGTGTGTAAGCTCCTGACCTGGCTCACAGCACCTTTCACACACGAAGGAAAGCTGCCCTCAGCAGTGTGTGCAGTGAGTGAGCCGTTTCTCAGGGGAGAGCCCAGGCAGCATCCTCCCTGTTCTTTGTCTTGTGCTGTTGTGTGCCCTGAAACGTGCCTGGTGGTTCTCGGGGGCTCCTCCATCCTTCCTCACCCGCCATTGTTTTCTTTAACCCCATAGGTCTTCTCAGGTGCTACGTTCCCCAGGTAGAGCCCCGAGATGCTGACTTCTGCACCGCACATGGCGCTGTCAGTGTCACCCCGCCAGCCCCCGCGCTGCTGTCAGGGGAACCGTGGTACCCCTGGTACAGGTGGCAGCAGCCCCCAGAGAGAGAGCTGTCTCGCCTTCGCCGCCTTTATCAGGGAAACCTCCGAGAAGAAAGTGGACCCCCACCTGAGTCAATGCCGGAGGTGCCCGCCACACCAGCAGCAGCAGCCTCCGAGGAGCAGACCGGCTCCCTTAGTGCTTAGAACTTGTGACCTGGGAAGAGGTCAAGAGGTTAGGGGAGCAGTGACTATGGTTACGTGCGGCACCGTGTCTGTTTGGTGACAGCGGCAGACCCTAAGAGGAAGTGACTGCCGTTGAAGAGGCTGAGAGCAGTCTAGGTGTTTATGAGACACTGAGCAGGCTCACTTGACTCCTGTGTCCCTTGATGCTATGTCCCTTCTTAAAACCTGTGGCCCAGCTTCTCCACAATAAAGCTATGTCGCCTCTTTGTCCCTGGCTTCCTTTGGGCTGACTCGAGAACATGGGGGTGACCTATGAGGTGGGGTGGGGGTTTGGTCCTCTTACTAACTTGCAACTCCAGCAAGGAAAGGGTGTGTGGCTGGCCCTTCTGAGGGTCCCCTCTGCTGTTCTGTGAAGGTGGGGTGCTTGGTTGCCATGGCACCGTGGGCACAGACCTACCGAAGGACTCCCATTGCATGAGAAAATCGGGATCTCCCAGGCTGCTGGCCTCTGCTGTGGGGGCTGGGTCCTGGAAATAAAAGACTTACCGGCCCCGCTAGCGGAAGTGACGTTGCATGGGGCGTGTCCGGTCCCGCACAATGGGCCATGGAGTTCCCGTTCGATGTGGATGCGCTGTTCCCGGAGCGGATCACCGTGCTGGACCAGCACCTGCGGCCTCCGGCCCGCCGACCCGGAACCACAACGCCGGCCCGGTGACATTTCAAACCCGCCCCATGGCCCTTCTGTCCTGGTTCCTCTCCAAACCCGTCCAGGAGCCACGCCCCCTTCTCGCTGACTTCTGGCCATTCCTTCTGCGGCCACAGCCTGGTTTTGGTTGCCTTTTGCCCCTGGACCTAGAGGGGTTAATCGGCCTCCATCTGTAACCTTTCACTCTTTGCCCCAGGGTGGCCTCAGCTGGTTGACCCTCCCTCCCTCCGGCAGCACAGTAACCTTAACGTGGGAGCTGTGAAACCGAAGTTTGGGACCTGGAGGGGCGAGGTGGGAGGTGAAAGGGAGTTCCAGGCGAAAGCACGGAGGAGCCTGGGTGGCGGTCAAGCGGGACGCTGTAAGCCCAGTGTCTGACCGGCCCCTCTCTCTCCAGTGTGGATCTGCAGCAGCAAATCATGACTATCGTCGATGAGCTGGGCAAAGCCTCTGCCAAGGTACGGGGCACCTCCAGGAGGAAAGGGAAACGGGTGGCAGGTAGGGAGCCCGTGCACAGTGTGTCCTCGCCTCTGCAGGCCCAGCATCTTCCTGCGCCCATCACAAGTGCGTCCAGGATGCAGAGTAACCGCCACGTTATCTACGTGCTAAAGGACACCTCCGCCCGCCCGTGAGTTCTTTTGTTCTTCCGTGTGGTTCACGCTCTTGTCCTTAGCTGTCCTGTCTTTTGTCATCTCTCCCAGACAGTTGCTCTGCTTGGTTCAACATTTTCCCCATCCCACAGGGCAGGGAAAGGAGCCATTATTGGTTTCCTCAAAGTCGGATACAAGAAGCTCTTTGTGCTGGTGAGTGTTACTGCAGGCTAGGCATTTGCAAGCTTTGGTGCCAGAGAAGAAGTGTGAGGAGGACAGGGTGGAGGTGGGGCAGCCCAGATTCCTGGCCCCTGATAACATGGGTGATGCTCTTGCAGGATGACCGTGAGGCTCACAACGAGGTAGAGCCTCTCTGTATTCTGGACTTTTACATCCACGAGTCGGTGCAGCGGCACGGCCATGGGCGGGAGCTCTTCCAGTATATGTTAGAGGTACCAGCCAGTCCTCACCAGTTAGTCCCCACGGGTCTAAAGGGGTCTTCACCCAGAGGCTCTCAGAGGCCCCGCTGCGTGCCCCGGGGTCAGTCCCCATTTCTCACGTTCCCTTGCCAGGCTCCCAGCTAGCATGGGCCTCCTACCACCTCTCTCCCACCCCCACCCCCGTGTTTCCTGTCCCCTGCAGAAAGAGCGAGTGGAACCACACCAGCTGGCCATCGACCGACCGTCCCCAAAGCTGCTGAGGTTCCTGAACAAGCACTACAACCTGGAGTCCACAGTCCCACAGGTTAGAGGCGCTTTGTCCCCCAGAGCAGTCTCCTCATGCCGACCAGAGGTAGGCCCTCAGGCGTGGCACAGGTGTGCTCTGCACACACTAACCCCTTTTTAAAAAACGGACACTCGCTCGCTTGCCCTGTGCATGCCAGCTCCTGTGTGTAGGCGAAAACCATGTGAGAGTCAGTTTGGTCTCCTTCCAGGTGGGTTCTGGAAATTGAAGGAAGGGTCAGCACACCTAGCCAGTCCTGCCTTGAGTGGTTTTAGACTGCTTTCGTGTGTATGAAAGCTTTGCCTGTATGTGTATATGCGTACGGTTTCCGTGCCTGTACACAGAGTGAGAGGGAGCCAGGGGAGGCCGTGAGAGGTGAGAGGGAGCCAGGGGAGGCCGTGAGAGGTGAGAGGGAGCCAGGGGAGGCCGTGAGAGGTGAGAGGGAGCCAGGGGA